GGACTGGAACTCACAGTCTCCTGACTTCTAGCCTGGTGCCCTTTAATAGCTTAGAGCCAAACTGTATAGATCCCACTTAAAGAAACATCCACAGGAATGTTTTGCAAGGATTTAGGGTCCGTTCCCCCTCCCCCCCCAGTTTTCTCTAGAAATTCAGAATCATTGACATTTTTGTTTCATCGCCATCTTGGACTTGGTAAAGAGGGCAAGAACGTGGCATGGGCATGGGAAATGCCATTTCTTAACATGTGCTTCCATGTGCTTGGAAGGAACATTTGAAGACAGAGGGAGAGATTGAAAAAGAATGAGAAATTCCAAGTATACATTTTTTTATGAGCAGCAAACACTGAATATCTGAACAGATTAAAAGTTTTCAAATAATTCTTTTTCCGATTTTACTCTGCTTATGAAAAAAATATTTGGATCCAGAATCATCTGAAAGAGATAAATGAGATGATCTATTATCAGGGCCGGATTTAGATGAAAAGAGGCCCTAGGCTATTCCACTTATGAGGCCCTTTCACCTATAGTGAAAGTGTAATTTTAATTTTGCTAACAATTTGAATGTAGGCCCCTCTTGATCTTGAGGCCCTAGGCTGAAGCCTAGTTAGCCTATAGGAAAATCCGGCTCTGTCTATTATCTGTCCATCCATCCATTCATCATCCATCCATCCATCCATCCATCCATCCATCCATCCATCCATCCATCCAAATAACCATCTAATTACTGTAACGAGGACTAAAGGCAGCTGACAGAGCATGGGAGTGTGGGACAGAATGGAACAATTCACCATGGCCAACTTGCTAGGGGACAATGCAACAATTCAATTTCATTATTTAAAATAATTGAAAAATATTTTAATCTTTGTCATTTACATTTCATTTTGTCCCTCCTTGGGCATCCTTTCTTTAATGATTCTATTCAACCATTTCTTTTATATTAGTGTAACTCTTGTCCCACGGTGATGCTCTGCCCCAGCTTCGGATTCCCAGAGAATGTGACCAAGCTTCGCAAACACTGTTTAATTCCAAACAAACCCCTTTCAAGAATTCAGGCTTCCCATGCAAAGGGTCCTTATCAAAGTTATTAAGAACAAAGTCCAACAAAGGTTGGCAACCAGCCCAGAAAATCAGATATGATTTTCACTCACTGTCCAAGATGCTCTGTAGTAATGAGACGTTGTTTCTAGCAAGAAAGCACTAGCTGTGTGCGACTTAATTAGGCTAAGGGAGAGGCCAATTATCCTCAAGCCCTACTCTTGAGTAGACCTCCTCCTCCTGAGTAGCCACTCCTGCCTTTTGGCAGCCCTGTGTGCCTGAGCATTGAGGAGAGGCTCCTCCACTTTGCTCTCTCCACTGGAAGGAGCCTCTGGAGGTTCTGACGGCCCTGACTGAGTCTCTGCCTCTGGCATCACATCCTCTTCGGTCTCCTCGCTGTCCGACGTGAGTGCCGGCTGCGCAGGCTGCTGGCGCGACACCACACCAGCCTCCTCGTCGTCGGGATCAGCCACAATCTGCGCAGGCCGCTGGCGGGCCACAACAGGTGAGTTGTTCTGTGACAAGTTGGCCACGGCAAGTTGGCTGCAGCAAGTTGACTGTGGCGAGTTGGCTGTGGCGAGTTGTGCACAAGCACACGGAAGGTTGTGCTCTTGAGCGCTTACATCTCTTTATGGGCTTGTTCTCATGTCTTTCCTTCTGCAGCCAGATATCATCCAGTTTTTCTAGGACAAATCCTCATCATGTTGCATTGATCTCATCCCAAGTTCACAGATGGGGCAGTTTCATCTTTCCTTCTTTAAGTAGTGCTTTCCCACTTCTCCCAACATGCACAGACCTATACTTTATATTAGCAAGACAGATAACATTATAAATATTAACAATGCACTCTTTCTCTCTCTTTCTTGTCCATATTTGTTTCAGCACACTGAACTTGAGTTATGAGAGATTTAAAACCATCTAATTTCATTTGCCAAACTCCCAGCAGAGTCCTCGTCTCATGACCACAATGGAGCCCAAACTTTTTGTTGTTAAGCGAGACATTTGTTAAGTGAGTTTTGCCCCATTTTACCACCTTCCTTGCCACAGTTGTTAAGTGAATCACTGCAGTTGATAAGTTACCAACCTGATTGTTAAGTGAATCTGGCTACCCCATTGACTTTGCTTGTCAGAAGGTCGCAAAAGGGGATCACATAACCCTGGGACACTGTAACGGTCATAAATATGAACCTTCCGAATTCTTATCACATGATCATGGGGATGCTGCAATGGTCATAACTTTGAAAAATGGTCATCAGTCACTTTTTTTCAGTGCCATTGTAACTTTGAATGGTCACTAAATGAACTGTTGTAACTCGAGGACTTACTGTGCACTCGGTGTTGATGGTTATCCTGCTTTTACCTGATTTGGTAAGCCTTTAAACCGTGAGCTATAGCTGGATATATGTAGCCACAAATCTACAAAAATGATCTACTTTCCATGGGCCATTGTGACATGATGCTATGTAATCCCAACAGCAGAATGCTACCACTGCTTCAGCTCAATTATCGGGGAATATAAAGTAATACTAATGATGATGATAATACAGTAAAACCTTGATTTAATGGGCCATTTGGGAGAAAGGGGTGTCTGTTAAATCTGAATGTACGTAAGTGATGTAATTTGTATCATTTGCCTAATTACATAATTGACATGTTAATGTCATTTGTGTCAATTTATCTTATTCGCCCAATTACATAATTATGCAATGATGTAAATTACATCAATTGTCCAGGCTGCTTTAGAAACAATGGGTTTTGTCCATTGTTTGGGGTGAAATCCAAAATAAAATGTCTGTGGCATGCAAGGTCCATTGAACGGAGACCCAAACTGTTATTACATTAGCTAATTTACACTCCCTCTGTATACTATACGTAAAGTGTGGCATACTACTGGTATAAATGGTATAAAAAAAATAGAAATTTGCTATAATTTGGAAATACTCCTAATTAACTTTTAAATCAAGTTAGTCAAAATCAAGTTAGCTTTAAATCAGAATCCACAAATCAGTTAACAGGACTACATACAGGGGTAGGCTGCTGGGGGATTCACAAGGGTTCAGGAGAACCTCTAGTTAAGATTCTGTGCAGTTCGGAGAACCCCCAAATCCCACTCCTGGCTGGCCCCACCCACCCTGCCCCTCCCCTCCCAGGAGTCCCCACGTGGCCTGTTTTGGATGTAGGTAAGTGTAGGGCGTGCATGGAGGCTCAGGGAGGGTGAAAAATGGGCCTACCGGAAGTTCGGAAGGGCCTCCGGAACTTGGGAAGGCCATTTTCGCCCTCCCAGAGGCTTGAGGAAAGCCTCTGGAGCCCAGGGATGGCAAAAATGCCCCCCCCCCCGCCATGGTGCAGGAGGCTGACTAGGCCAGGCCCACCATGGCCACACCCACTCAGCAACCGGGCAGAGAACCCCTTGCTAAAATTTTTGAAGCCCACCCCTAACTACATACTGTAGTTAACTAAAATGGAATGGAAACATCCAAACTCTCTCTCTTTCTCGTTAGCATGGGAGATTGTCAGAATAATGCATTTACAATAAGCTAAATCTAGTTTTAGAATTATGCTCTAATCAGGGTCTAATGTAACTGCAACAGCTATACCAGTTTTGGCTTGATCTAAATTTTGTGCCTCCTCATTTCATTTCTCTAAACCAATATAGGTAAGTATCTATCAAAAAGCTTGATGAGGGTATCTTATATCATGAGATATTTATATATTTAATTTTATTAACGTTATTGTTATTTTACCTGCCTCTGTGCCCATTCCTACATTAGTAATTTCTAGTTTCATTTTTTTAAAAGCACAGTTTCCTCAGATGATTTGGTGGGGTTGAAAAGATGATGAATGAACAAAGAGCAACTGTGACTTGCTAGGATTAAGTCTGGTAGATGAGAAGATCTCAGTGGATTGTAGATGCATTGCTGGGTAATGTGAAAATTTACAGCACATTTTTAACATGAACATAAATTTCCAGATGGACCCACATCTAATCAATCAACCAACCAACCAACCAACCAATCAATCAATCAATCTTTCCTGTCTCTTATGATCATAGATGAGAATTCCTGGCAAGTCCTAAAACCCAATCAGCTTCCGCCCTTATAGATGAACCTAGAAAGATGATCATCACATTGCAAATGTTAGGGTCAAGTGTCCAATGATATATTACAAGTATAGTAGTATACATTTCCATAGCTAAGCAATACAGTTGTGCCCCATTTTACGATCTTTTTTTTTTGCCCCAGTTGTTAAGTGAATCATTTCAGTTGTTAAGTGAATCATGAGATAATTAAGCGTATCTGGCTTTCCCCCATTGACTTTGCTTGTCGGAAACCAGCTGGGTTATAAATGATGATCACATAACCCTGGGACAATGCAACCATACATGCCAGTTGCCAAGAGCCCAAATTGCAGCATCCCCATGCTGCAATGGTAGTCAGTATAACTGATCATGTCACTTTTTTCAGTGCTATTGTAACTTTGAACAGTCACTAAATGAATGGTTGTAACTGGAAGACTACCTATACTATTATGTTCTCTCTCTGTGTGTCTCTCCCTGCTCTCCTCTCCCTCTCTCTGCCTGTCTGCCTGTCTGTCTCTCTCCATACATACACACACACACACACACACACACACACACACACACATACTCCACATACACACATCTCTCTCTCTCTCTCTTCTCTCTCTCTCTCTCTCTCTCTCTCTCTCTCTCTCTCTCTCTCTCTGGCTTTCCTATATATATATCCTAGTAATGAAAGATTTGGAAGAAAACAAAAACAAGCTCAAGCTCAAGTGAAAGGAGATCAGTTTTAAGCGAGGAACTGAGTGCTGGTTTGGGTGGAAAGGAGAAGGAGGAAAAAGGAAAACAGCTGGCTTCAGGGCAACGCAAAAATTCCTGCCAATGGGAACCTGAGCTGTACACAGGGGCTGCAGTAATAGAGCAACACAGCAAAGAAAAGACATGCTTTGTTGCGGTTTTTAATAATCCAGAACAGAATGAGAAAGAAACTGATGAAACCACAGTCTGCCAGGTCTACAGCCAATCCCATGTAATGGTTTACATGACAAAATACATAACAATATCCAGAATGGTGTTAGCATCGCCTCTTTCAAGTATAAAGAGCCAGCATGGGGTAGTAGAATGGAGCGGTGAGACCCAGATTCTAGTTGTCCTTTCAGGCACAGAAGCCATCTGGCTGACCTTGGGCCTGTCACTCCTTGTCAGGTCAAATCAGCATTTGGGTCTGTGACAAACTGGCTGGAAAAGAGAACTCTTCGTTGTATCACGCACTGACAGCTCTGCTCTTCGTCCCCCCCAGCGAGCACAGTGCAAAACAAGCAGGCTCTGCAAATAAACGGGACAAACATTTAGGAACAACAACAACACCTCTCGAGCATAAGCAAGTCTACAATTAGAGCTGTCCTATTTACTTTGCTCGGATAATTATTCTGTTGGGTTCCTCAGCCAAATCATTTAACTTTTGCCAGATCCTTTAAGCTGCAAATGGAAGATAATACATTGTAAGAATGAAGGTTAATTGATTTATATTCTAAAATGTATTGACCCTGATAAATGAAAATGCCATATGCAGGGCATTCTCCTTTCTAGAGCTAACTCACTGTTGCTTATATTTACTGAAAATAAGCACTGTTGATACTGCATGTTCATATATGGTAAGAGTCGTACTGTAGATATAAAATATGAGACGTAATTAACAAGGATTATCAATTTTTTGTCAAGATGCTATTAATTTGTCTAAGCAATACTGTAGAACTATTCAGAGGAGTTTTCACCAATGGACAAGAATGCCAGAAATTATTTGGGAAAAATAGCTATGCAGTGTTGCTTTTTCGCAGTGCTTCAGTTTGCACCATATTATTTCTCTCCACATTACCAAGATAACTTAAGCTATATAGTTCTTCTCCCATTTTGGGTTGGACACCAAAGTTATGATCCAAGAATAGTAAAAAAAAAAAGGTAAAAAGATAACTATTTTTAAAAATACAAACATTTGATGCGAAAATAATAGTAACTCACCCTCACATCTTGAATTATTCTAATTTTAAAGCTATTATTTTCTGAGTACAATAGTCCTTGACTTACAGTTCGTTTAGTGACTGTTCAAAGTTTGATTCCCATGATCACATGATCAAAATTAACACAACTGTTGCATGTATCGCCATGCATCGCCATGGTCACGTGATCAAAATTCAAACACTTGGTAACTGGTTCATGACAATTGCATTGTCCCAGGGTCAGGTGATCACATTTTGTGACCTTCTGACAAGCAAAGTCAATGGGAAAACCAGATTGACTTAACTGTGTTACTAACTTAACAACTGCAGTGATTCATTTAACAACTGTGACAAAAAAAAGTCCTAAAATGGGGCAACATTCATTTAACAATTGTCTTACTTAGCATTAGAAATTTTGGGTTCAATTGTGATTGTAAGATCAAAACTACATGTACATTAAAAAATTATCTAACTAAAGCATATTTATTTGGACATGATCAAAACCAACTTGTGTATTATACAGGGCAAATATGATTATCCTCTACATACCATAGCACAATTTTGGCAAAAGTATATTTTTTATTAAATCCTGATGAATAACACCAAAATTTATATTCATTAATCAACCAAGGAAGAATAGGTTTAATGAGAAAGAAAAATTACATTTTTTTCCTCTTGTTGCTTGAAGGCCTATGTTTTTCATATTGATAATTTAGCTTTATTTTTATTTTTTTTTATATCTGCCACTGTGTGTTTTCTTGTTTCTATCCTCTCAGCCTGCAGAATATTCCCAAGGAAGTAATTCTTGGCAGCTGAAAAGCGTTTTAGTAATTCATCTTCAAGCATTTTCAACTCAGTTTTAAAATAATTTTGCTGCTTTGTGAGTTCAGACTGAAATGAAAATGGTAAGGTTGCAAACCTATAATTCAGGCGCCATTAATATAGGAAGTACGCATCACTGAACTTCAAAACTTGCAATTCTCCCAAGACTTCATTATAGCCCTTGTTTTAGGGTTTAATAATTAAGCAACACATGGGTAGCAAGAATGTAGAAAGATTTAAAGTGTTACCTTTGTTCTTTTTACTGACTATTTAACACCAGGTAAGAATTAGTTAAATATCAGGTATATTAGGGACACAATCTTCTATCCGTCTCATTAAATGTGAACTAAACATTTAGATTTTAATCGTACACTTTTAGATAATGCATCTTTGGATGGGATTTGGTCTGAGCAAATTCAGATTGAGAGGAAGGTAAATGACTACCCCTGTCTCCCTATGTAAATCTACAAATCACTATAACAGAATAACAAGAGTTGGAACGGGCCTTGGAGATCTTCTAATCCAATCCCTTGTTCAAGCAGAAGACCTTATACCATTTGAGACAAATGACTCTCTAGTGGACTCTCAGGGATGTCAAACTCAAGGCCCCAGGGCCGCATCTGGCCCATGGGGTGCTTAGATCTGGCCCGTGTGGCCGCCCTGGAAACAGCAAAGGACCAGCCTGAAGTGCCTCTGCCAGCGAAAATGTAGCTCGTGAAGGCCATGTGCGGTTCTCCCAAGCTCCGTTTTCGCTGGCAGAGGGTTGCAGGAGCTCAGGAGCCTGTTTTCACTGGCAGAATGCTCGGTCCACCAACATGAATGACATTGATCTGGCCACGCCCACCCTGGCCACGCCCACCTCAGCCCCCCGAGGTCAAACACAACCCTGTTGCAGCCCTCAATGAAATCGAGTTTGCCACCCCTGCTCTAGTCTCTTCTTAAAAACTTCCAGTGTTGGAGCATTCACAACTTCTGAAAGCAAGCTGTTCCACTGATTAATTGTTCTGTCAGGAAATTTCTCCTTATTTCTAGGTTGGTTCTCGCCTTGATTTGTTTCTACATTCAGGTGCTTTGGAGAATAGATTGACTTTCTTTCTTTTACTTTCTTTTATTGAATTTGTATACCGCCCTACTCCCGAAGGACTCAGGGCGGTGAACAGCCATAGAATAAAACAATATAAATACAAAATTTAAAATAGAATAAAACGAATTAAATAATTTGGCTGAACAAATTTAAAACCCCAATACTTTAAAACCAAATTTAAAATTTCCATTTAAAAAGGGGAAAGACTTAGGACAGGCCAGCCTGGTGAAACAAGAAAGTCTTGAGCGCGCGACGGAAGGTACGCAGATCCAGGATCCTCCGTATCTCCGGGGGGAGCTCGTTCCAGATAGTAGGTGCCCCCACAGAGAAGGGTCTCCCCCTGGGGGCCTCCAGTCGACATTGTTTGGCCGATGGTACCCGGAGGAGCCCCTCTCTATGGGAACGTACTGGTCGGTGGGAGGCTATTGGTGGTAGCAGGTGGTCTCGTAAATAACCAGGTCCCAAGCCATGGAGCGCTCTAAAGGTGATAACCAAAACCTTGAAGTGCACTCGGAAGACCCCCGGGAGCCAGTGCAGCTTGCGCAGGAGAGGTGTTACATGGGAGCGCCACGTCGCTCCCATCACCATGTGCGTGGCCGCACTCTGCACCAGTTGGAGCCTCCAAGTGCTCCTCAAGGGGATCCCCATGTAGAGAGCATTACAATAGGGTTGACTCAGCCTTCCATCCTTTCTAAGGTAGGTGAAATGAGGACCCAGTTTGTGGGGGCAATAAACTGACTTTGTATAAAATATACAAAAGAATGAAAGCTATTGCTTAACGCATTGTAAGCCGCCCTGAGTCTCCGGAGAAGGGCGGCATATAAATCAAATTAAAAAAATAAAAATAGGCCAGACGGGAGGTGACGAGGGCGTGAGTGACCGTGCATAAGGAGTCCCGACCTAGAAAGGGACGCAACTGGTGGATCAGGCGAACCTGATGAAAAATCCTCCTGGCCACGGCCATCAAGTGCTCTTCTAAAGACAGCTGTGAATCCAGGAGGACATCCAAGTTGCGAGCCCTTTCCGTGGAGGCCAGTGATTCGCCCCCAATAGTCAGTGATGGCACCAGCTGACTATATCGGGACGTCAGAAACCACAGCCACTCGGTCTTGGATGGGTTGAGCCTGAGCCTGTTCCTCCCCATCCAGATCCGTACGGCCTCCAGGCACCGGGACATCACTTCAAGGGCATCATTGGGGTGGTCTGGGGTGGAGATGTACAGCTGGGTGTCGTCAGCATACTGATGGTACTCCACCCCAAACCACGGATGATCTCACCCAGCGGCTTTACATAAATGTTGAACAAAAGGGGTGAGAGGACCGATCCTTGTGGCACCCCACATATAAGGGGCCTCGGGGTCGACCTCTGCCCCCCTGTCAACACAGACTGCGACCGGTCGGAGAGAAAGGAGGAGAACCACCGTAGTATGGTGCCTCCCACCCCCAACTCTTCCAACCGGTGCAGCATGATACCATGGTCGATGGTATCAAAAGCCTCTGAGAGATCTAACAGGACCAGGAAAGAGGAGAACCCCCTGTCCCGAGCCCTCCAGAGATCATCCACCAACGTGACCAATGCCGTTTCCATGCTGTACCCAGGCCTGAAGCCTGACTGGAACGGATCTAGATACGTCGTTTCATCCAGGTACTGGGGAAGCTTTCGTGCAACCACACTCTCAACAACCTTCACCACAAAGCGAAGGTTGGAGACTGGACGATAGTTAGCCAATTCAGCCGGGTCCAGAGGGGGACTGACCCCCCTCTTCTCTGTGGCGGCACCATTTAGGATGGAAAGGGAGGATTTGAAACTCAGGGATACAAATGAAACAAGTGGTATTTGTTTTTAAAAAAACTGAATAAAAAATATTACTTCTGTACTGGAACATATGTAGAAAAATGCATCAATATCCACAATATATCAATCAATCACAATAAACTTGTTTTTATGCTAACCTAATAAACATGGAGCAGATCAGATGCTACTCAGTTTCATAAACCATTATGCGTGAGAGGGCTTTTCACACAAGACAACTATGTGAAATATTGCAGCCATTACATATAAGAACTATGTGCAAAGAAGCAAAAGAAACAGCAAATCATATACTCAACATCACACAAACTAATTATAAACAATGACATAGTAGTTGCCAAGGTGATTCATTGGAACTTCTGTAAAAATTTCTATGTGCCATTAATGAAACATTTGTGGGAACATACATTGAAAAAAAATAGTCAAAAATGAGCAGACTAAAATATTGTGGGATTTCTGAATACAAACAAACTGATAAAATCTTGGCATATAACACAGTAGATTTATCTGTGTTGAAAAGAAGAAATTGTGGTTAATTATGGTGGATTAATATATAATTATTAATTATAGTGTTCTACTATACTAAGAGATATCAGAATAGAAGACAAGGAATT